GGGGGAGAGGAGAAGAAGAGAGGGGTGATTGGGGGTGGGGAGGGGGGGGAGGGGAAGGGAGGGTAGGAGGGGAGGAGGGTGGAGGAAGGGGAAGAGAGGAGAGGGGAGGATGGGGTGGGGAGGAGGAGGAGGGGGGAGAGGGGGAGGGGAGAGGTTGTTTGATTAGGTTTTCTGTGTCTTTTTTGTCTGTGTCTTGGTTTGTTAAGTTTTCTGCTGCTTGTCGTGTCTCTTTCGCTTGCTATAGGTGTATGTACGGATATAGATACATAAATGCATAAACACACACACACACACACACACACACACACACACACACACACATACACACACACACACAAACATTACATATATACATACATGAGAGAGAGCGAGATCGAGAGAAGAGGAGATCGAGAGAGAGACAGAGAGAGAGAGAGAGAGAGAGAGAGAGAGAGAGAGAGAGAGAGAGAGAGAGAGAGATGTGAGTGAGTGAGAGAGAGAGAGAGAGAGAGAGAGAGAGAGAGAGAGAGAGTAGAGAGAGAGAGAGAGAGAGAGAAAGAGAGAGAGAGAGAGAGAGAGAGAATTAGAAGCATAGACGATAAAATTATGACTTTAAATCATCCAAAAACAATAGAACTCATAATAGAATAAATATAATCTCACATATTTACCCCTTAATTTCTCCATTTCTTAAATATTTCTTATCCATTCTCCCTGCTCCTCCATATTCTCTCTATTCTCCTCTTTCTTCATTTTTTTCTCAATTCTCTCCTTTCCTCCATTCTCCCTGCTCCATTTATTCCATTCTTTTTCTTCTTTTTTCTCAATTCTCTCCCTGCTCGCATTTTACTCCTCCATTCTCCGCTTTCTTTCCTTTTTTCCCTCAATTCTCCCTTTTCCTCCATTCTCCCTGCTCCTCCATTTTCTCTCCATCTCCTTTCTTCATTTTTTTCTCCCTCATTCTCTCTCCTTTCCTCCATTGTTTTTCTCCATTCTCCCTGCTCCTCCATTTACTCTCCATTCTCCTCTTTCTTCATTTCCCCCCCCTCAAATTCTCCCTTTCTCCCCCACCAGTCTTCGAAAATGGACCCCGTGATCATGCGCGTTGACGCCAGCAAGATCCCCCGCGCATTCAACGCCCGCAGAGCGTGGCGTGGGCGTGTGACGGGCGTGAGGGACCAGGGTTGGTGCGGCGCCTCGTGGGCGTTCTCCACCCTCGGCGTCGCTCAGGACAGGTGAGGTTGGGGTGGGTGGGGTGGTGAGGTTGGGTGGGGGGTTGGTGGGGGTGGGTGGGGTGAGGTTGGGGGTGGGGTGGGTTGGGGTGGGTGGGTGGAAAGGGGTGGGGTGGGGTGGGAAAGGGGTGGGGTGGGGATGGGGTGGGGTGGGAAGAGGTGGGTGGGGGGGTTGGGGTGGGGGGTGGGTGGGGGGGTGGGGTGTTGGTTAGGTTTAGGTTTAGGTTAGGTTAGGTTAGGTTAGGTTTTGTTAGGTTAGGTTAGGTTAGGTTAAGGTTAGGTCTTAGGTTAGGTTAGGTTTTGGTTAGGTTAGGTTAGTTAGGTTAGGTTAGGTGGTTGGTTATGTTAGGTTAGGTGGTTAGGTTAGGTTTCCGGTTAGGTTAGGTTAGGTTTGGTTAGGTTAGGGGTTTAGGTTTGGTTAGGTTAGGTTAGGGTTAGGTTTGGTTAGTTAGTTAGGTTAGGTTAGGTTAGGTTAGGTTAGGTTTGGTTAGGTTAGGTGTTAGGTTAGGTTAGGTTAGGTTAGGTAGGTTAGGGTTTGGTTAAGGTTAGTTAGGTTGGTTAGCCGTTAGGTTAGGTTTTGGTTAGGTTAGGGTTTAGGTTAGGTTAGGTTAGGGTTAGGTTAGGTTTGGTTAGGTTTGGTTAGGTTTAGGTTAGGTTAGGTTTGGTTAGGTTAGGTTAGGTTAGGTTTGGTTAGGTTAGGTTTGGTTAGGTTAGGTTTGGTTAGGTTAGGTTAGGTTTAGGTTTTGGTTAGGTTTAGGTTAGGTTAGGTTAGGTTAGGTTAGGTTAGGTTAGGTTAGGTTAGGTTAGGTTAGGTTAGGTTAGGTTTAGGGTTAGGTTAGGTTTTGGTTAGGTTAGGTTAGGTTAGGTTAGGTTAGGTTTGGGTTAGGTTAGGTTAGGGTTTAGGTTAGTTAGGTAGGTTAGGTTAGGGTTAGGTTAAGGGTTAGGTTGGTTAGGTTAGGTCAGGTTAGGTAGGTAGGTTAGGTTAGGTTAGGTTTTGGTTAGGTTAAGGTTAGGTTAGGGTTAGGTGGTTTTTAGTTTTAGGTTAGGTTTAGGTTAGGTTAGGTTAGGTTAGGTTTGGTTTGGTTAGGTTAGGTTGGTTGGTTAGGTTAGGTTTGGTTAGGTTATAGGTTTGGTTAGGTTAAGGTTAGGTTCAGTTAAGGTTAGGTTAGGTTAGGTTAGGTTAGGTTAGGTTGGTTTAGGTTAGGTTAGGTTAGGTCTAGGTTAGGTTGGTTGAGGTTAGGTTAGGTTAGGTTAGGTTAGGTTGTAGGTTTTAGGTTAGGTTTAGGTTG